CCCCTCTCTGAGGGCCCCTTTGTAAACCGTTTCATCTCGCTCGCACCACTTGTGTTTGCTGCCTAATCAGGTGACGTTATCGGCGCTATTTTTAGCCGGGCTTTCCCGAACAATTCAAGTGGTCAAACTGGACATTTGGAACGGACTATGAATATGGGGATAGCGAGGTAACATAAGTGGAAGTGCATACAATACATACATTCATTAAAAAAAAAACGCCTTTTCACGTGATGTCCCTTTAACCAAACCTGTAAGGACATGCATGTTATGTACATGTTTGTTACTCTTATTGTATACCTCACATGGCTAGGAAGTGGTGTTTTGAATGTTTAGTTTAAATAGATATTTTACAACATATGATTTACAATTACCTGATCCTATTTCACATCCTTATTTTGTCACGATTGTAGAGGAAGTGATAGTCCAGAAACTGTGATATCGTCGTCGTCTCCAGAGCATGGATTCGGTGAAGTGGAGGAGGAATATCCCATGTTGCGTCCCATCGACCCCGCACCCATTGACGACCGAGCATCACCTTCAATGCCTTTGGTACAACCTGTTGTGGTTAAGGCGTCGCCCATCAGACCCAAATCTACTGACTCACACTTTGAGATTCCAGAGAAAACATACGGTCATCCTCGACCATTAATAGACAGTGATGTATTGGACAGGAAATGGGGCTATGATCCAATGTCAATATCTGGCAAGGAAAACGACCTGACACAGAGTCTGACATCTTCTCTTACCAAGCCTTTCCGGGATGCTGATCTCAAGCAGGACATATCCGTGACCGTGACTTTGTCTGCAAAATCTGCAGATGATATTGGTGGTGTGTTGTCAACAATAGCAGAACTTTTAAAGATTGCTGTGCCACCAACATACGAAATGAGCAGAAGTCCCTCACCAGACACCTACAAATCTGTCACCAAACGTGAGTATGCAAACATTTCCTGGCAAGTTCATTAAATTTCACAGGCAGCTTAATATCATTTGATTTTGATGAAACTTTGTAAGCAGGTACAATATACAAAGATACAGATTAAATGTGACAGGTTGAGCAAATAAACTAACTGTGCTCTGATTGGTCAACATAATACCATTATCAAATACTGGATTCTGATGATATTGTACAGAGGCCAAATTTGAAATTCGGCAAATTCAGCAAACGGCACTTCATTGGATGATGGTTTATACTCAATATCTTAAACAACTAGGACAGGATTTTGATGAAACTTTTAGTCAGTATACTTTACAAATAGGAAATCTAACTTGAAATTTAGTGAAATTTGCATGTAAATAAGAAGCACTCGGAAATGATGTGAATTGATGCATTTTTCCACAGACAAGGAGCAGGCTGTGAACATACACTCCCTCATCAAAGCCAAGCCCAAGTTCTGTCGCCATTGTCAGACGGTGGTGATGGAGGGTGGAGTGAGAAAGCGACGCTCAGAGATTCCATGCCTCAAGAAGGAGGACCAGTTTACATTCAAGGTAAATGTTGCAAGGTGCTTGCAATCGATTGCAACACTACAAATACTGCAATTCATATTTCAAAAATAAATTGAAAATATGGTGATGTATAAAAACTCTAAAACATTTCTTATTGAAAGGTATTTGTGTGTACTAATTGACTGAGAATCGTATGTTTATTTTGCCAATAGGATATCGAGGATGAGGAGGTGACATTCTGTACGTCCGACTGCTGTAGCCAGTACATAGCTATCTGTCAGATGATACAGCCACCACCCAAACTAGTGGAGCCTAAGGAGGAGATCCTTGAACCTCCTCCCCAGCCCACAACACTGGTCAGCCCAGTGAAGACCTTCGACCTGTCAAGCCCCCTGACTGATACTTCCACATTATCTGGTAATGAGGCACTTCCTGTGCCCTCCACCCCATCAACTCCTACCTCTTCGGGGGTGTCCACTCCCACAGTCACTCCAACCACACCTGTGAGGCAGAAGTCGGAGGAAAAACTGCAGAAGAAACTGAAGCGAAGTAACAGCTACTATGACAAGGTCATTACCATGCTACAGCGATGTAACACATATTTCATTGGTTAATAATCATGTACTATTGGGCAATAGACACTAGCATGCAAATTTGCTGTAATAGATCATGCACTGCTTATAATATTTCGAAAATGGGGGAAACTTTTGAATGAATAAAGTGAATAGTGTTTGACTGTTCCAGGACAAGTTTGCTTTGTTGAGAGATGGCACACACAGACATGTGTATACATCTTTTTTAGAATACATTTACATGAAACTGGCAGAATAGGACCCTGTTTGATTGCAATGATTTATTTAGGTCACGTTGCATTGTAAGCACTGATAAGGATGTGAAAGCACATTTCGTGTTTAACAGATACAATCATCCTATGTTTCTGTATATTATTGTTGAATGTATAACTCTGGGTTAAAACAATGGTGGAGGTTTCTGCTGTTTCTATTTATAACTACAGCCAGCTCCCAGTCACTATGCATGGACAGATGAGCGATACAGGCCCTCTGAGCTTGTTGAGTAAAGGTTATTGTTTATGTCCCTGTTTATAACTACAGCCAGCTCCCAGTCACTATGCATGGACAGATGAGCGATACAGGCCCTCTGGGCTTGTTGAGTAAAACTTATTGTTTATGTCCTTGTTTATGACTACAGCCAGGTGTGTTTTTTTTGTTCTTAGCCTCTTGAGAAGAAGTGGAAAGGAAAGCGGTACAAGTATGTTCTAAATGAAGTAGTGGAGAGCCTAGGTGTGGCACCAGGCATGCCGGAGATAGAGGTTGATGTGGTAGGTATTTTATGACTGTAGATTTCAAGTAATGATGATGACAAGTTTGTTTTGTTGATAAACACTTCCCTATGTGGAGTATTATAATGCTGTTAACTGAGCGTTGTACTGACTAATAAACGCTTGTTAAGTACAACACCTGGGACAAACTTCCAATATTTGGATTTTGCATAATTGACTGTTTGACTAGACAATGATTAGTTGGGAGGTAAATAAGTGAGTGTGGTACATCTGAGGGATTATTTCTTACAGTTATGGAAGGCCCTAGGGACCATAATCATCCCAGACCCCCTACCAAAGGACAACAGGGTCTGTGCCTTCTGTCAATTCGGGGGAGATGAGGTCTCGGACGGCCCAGGCAGGTATGTACCAAAGGGGAAATCAGCTTTTCCTATCATTCATCTGTCCATTTTTACAGATGGAACTAATGAGTTCAAAGATTGGTTTCGATAAAATAAAAATTCTGGTTTCAATAAAATAAAAGAATCAACTACTAATTCAAATTAGAATATAGAGTGAATGGAATGGATCTGTTGAATATTTTATGTTAGGTTATTTCCCCAACGCGTAAGTTTTACTTTAAACATGGGAAGTCGACATTTGGTCAATGCTGACTTTAATAAATCATTGACATCAATTATTGGTGCTTTAAGGTATATTTGCATCCAGTCAGCTTTTCCACTCAAAATTCATAAACTAAAGGTTGCCTTGTTTGTCTGTGTCTTAGTAGCATGACGTCCTCCAGAGTATGTCATCTTATTTTGTATGAATGTTGACCCACTTTTTCAGGATGCTTAACATGGATGTTGACAAGTATATCCATCTGAACTGTGCCCTATGGTCATCCGAAGTGTACGAGACACTGAACGGTGCGCTGATGAACGTAGATATGGCTTACACCCGTGGTCTACGGACGGAGTGTGTCGTCTGTAAAAACGTTGGGGCTACATTGGAATGCTTCAAATCCCGATGTGGCAATTATTATCATGTTGGGTGTGCCAACAAACAGGGCTGCATGTTCTTCCAGGATAAGGTGAGAATCATGTCTAACATGTTTATACAGAACTGGCCTACCTAGATTTATATACAGAACTGGCCTAACTAGATTTATATACAGAACTGGCCTACCTGGATTTATATACAGAACTAGCCTACCTAGAATTATATACAGAACTAGCCTACCTAGATTTATATAAAGAACTGGCCTACCTAGATTTATATACTGAACTAGCCTACCTAGATTTATATACAGAACTAGCCTACCAAGATTTATATACAGAACTGGCCTACCTGGATTTATATACAGAACTAGCCTACCTATATTTATATACAGAACTAGCCTACCTATATTTATATACAGAACTAGCCTACCTATATTTATATACAGAACTAGCCTACCAAGATTTATATACAGAACTAGCCTACCTAGATTTTTATACAGAACTGGCCTACCTAGATTTATATACTGAACTAGCCTACCTAGATTTATATACAGCACTGGCCTACCTAGATTTATATACAGAACTGGACTACCTAGAATTATATACAGAACTAGCCTACCTAGATTTATATACAGAACTAGCCTACCTAAATTTATATACAGAACTAGCCTACCTAGGTTTATATACAGAACTAGCCTACCTAGAATTATATACAGAACTAGCCTACCTAGGTTTATATACAGAACTAGCCTACCTAGAATTATATACAGAACTAGCCTACCTAGGTTTATATACAGAACTAGCCTACCTAGATTTTTATACAGAACTGGCCTACCTAGATTTATAAACAGAACTGGCCTACCTACATTTTTATACAGAACTGGCCTACCTAGATTTATATACAGAACTGGACTACCTAGAATTATATACAGAACTAGCCTACCTAGATTTATATACTTTATATACAGAACTAGCCTACCAAGATTTATATACAGAACTGGCCTACCTGGATTTATATACAGAACTAGCCTACCTAAATTTATATACAGAACTAGCCTACCTAGGTTTATATACAGAACTAGCCTACCTAGATTTATATAAAGAACTGGCCTACCTACATTTATATACAGAACTGGCCTACCTAGATTTATAAACAGAACTGGCCTACCTACATTTTTATACAGACCTGGCCTGCCTAGATTTATATCCAGAACTAGCCTACCAAGATTTATATACAGAACTGGCCTACCTGGATTTATATACAGAACTAGCCTACCTAGAATTATATACAGAACTAGCCTACCTAGATTTTTATACAGAACTGGCCTACCTAGATTTATATATAGAACTGGCCTACCTACATTTTTATACAGAACTGGCCTCCCTAGATTTATATACAGAACTAGCCTACCAAGATTTATATACAGAACTGGCCTACCTACATTTTTATACAGACCTGGCCTGCCTAGATTTATATCCAGAACTAGCCTACCAAGATTTATATACAGAACTGGCCTACCTGGATTTATATACAGAACTAGCCTACCTAGATTTTTATACAGAACTGGCCTACCTAGATTTATATACAGAACTGGCCTACCTACATTTTTATACAGAACTGGCCTACCTAGATTTATATACAGAACTAGCCTACCTAAATTTATATACAGAACTAGCCTACCTAGATTTATATACAGAACTGGCCTACTTTATATACAGAACTAGCCTACCAAGATTTATATACAGAACTAGCCTACCTAGCTTTATATACAGAACTGGCCTACCTAGATTGATATACAGAACTAGCCTACCTAGATTTATATACAGAACTAGCCTGCCAAGATTTATATACAGAACTAGCCTACCTATATTTATATACAGAACTAGCCTACCAAGATTTATATACAGAACTAGCCTACCTAGATTTATATACAGAACTGGCCTACCTTCATTTATTAGGTCACCTGAGACAAAGTCTCAAGTGACCTATTGCCATCGCCTTTTGTCCGTCGTCGTCCGTTGTCCGTCGTGCGTCCGTAAACAATTTACATTTTTGACTTCTTCTCCAAAACCCCTGAACCAATTTCAATGAAATTTTGCAGGGACCTTTCATGGACAAAGGTCAACAAAAACAGTTGCCGGTTTAGTCCTAAGCCCCCAGGGGCCTGAGGGGCGGGGCCAAAAAGGGTCAAATTGACTAAAATTTCAAAAATCTTCTTCTCCAAAACCCCTGAACCAATTTCAATGAAATTTTGCAGGGACCTTCCATGGACAAAGGTCAACAAAA